AGCGACGGGTTTCCGACGAGAGTGAAATTCGTCGCAAAATGTAGTGACAAATTTCCGACCAAAATTAAACTCGTCGTAAAGTAGTGATGGAATTCCGACAAAACTGTTATTCGTCGCAAATTTAGGGACAAACTTCCAACAAAAATGAAATATTGTCAATTAGTGACGTATTTCTGACGAAAATTATAGTTGTCACAAACTAGTAACGATATTCCGACTAAAATAATATCCGTCAGGGAATTAGTGACTATTTGCCGACAAATTGTGATTTCGTCACAAATCAGCAACTGATTAGTAACATTTTTTATTCCGTTGCGAACATCTGCGACGGTCTAGTAATGGAATGTGAACGCGTCGCCCAATTAGTGACTCGTTTCCAACGAAATCAGAATTCCTCGCAAATAAATTGTAATCCGTCACTAATTGGTTAATAATCTGTCAATAAAGTGCGACAAATTAGTCAGTAGCTGAAATTCCGTCGGTGAAGCCCTGTTTTCTTGTAGTGCCATAATATTCATGGTTTTTTATTTTGTGCAAAATTATGTTAATATGAATGCAACTGCTTTTTTCATGATATTGTTTTGTGGTTGAAAATACAGAGTGGTTTTCACACATAATAGCCGATACCCATAATAGTCATGGTTTTTTTCTGGGTTCGAAATTATGTTAATATGAATGCAGTTACGTAGCAAAATAACAGTGGTTTTCAATAAAATACAGAGGTGCTTTTCAGAATTTCCCCATTTATGGGTACAATTGTCCATTTACGTAGCACAATTCAGTGGTTTTCAAAAAAATACAGAGTGGTTTTCGTGTCAAGTAAATATAGAGTCTAATTATGCAGTAAAATCGTCTCAATAAAATACAGAGTGGTTTTCGTGCTTTTCCGCAAACCATGATAGTGTGTAATAGTCATGGGTTTAGCACTTTTCGAATTAATTTTAATATGAATGCACATGAGTTTTCTCCAACATTGTTATGCTGTTGTAGCATATATTCGATCGATACTTTAAAATGTCAGAGTGGTTTTGATATACTGCCGGATTACAAAGTTACATGTCCGTTTTAAAATTATTATCATTGTACATGTCAGATTTATTATAATGTATGTTCTCAATCGTGGTAATAGGGTATTATTTTTTCCCTATTTAATAGCATGTTTTTTTTCTTCATAATTTACCATGTAATTATTTTGTGCAGTTTCATGGATTCCAACGGGACATTTGTGTTGAGGTTTCGAGGGATTGTTGGAATAAAGCGATGGTCTGATCGCATGAATTTTGATTCATTGATAAAATATGTTTGGTCGAAGTGGGACGCGATCAATGGACGTAACTTCACTTTGACTTATAAGTTTGACAAGTAAGACGACTGCATCCTTGCGAGCGATGATGATTTGACATCAATGTTGTTCATCATGCGCGAGATTGGTGCTGGTCGTGTTGAGATAACCGTAAAGGAACAGCAAATTACGGACGCAAATCTTGGTGACTGTATTCAACAGCAACCAGTGCAGACCATTGTAACATCGTTTAGACGTGTGACATATGGTCATGGTGGTTAGTTAATGTATTGTTTGATTTTCCTGTTTTTGATGGTTTGTTTAAAAGTTTCCGTTTGATTTATTGGTTTTATTGTACATATTACTTAATGCTGTTTGTTTAAAAGTCTCCGTCATAGGTAAGTATGAACTTTGATTTTATGTATTCATAATTGCGTTATGACTGTACTACTATAAAACAAATTTTACTGTTAACTTTGTTGGTTTTATTTGCATTACTGGTTTAAAAAAAAATGTACAATAAAACCACTGTGTATCAATTATTTTGATATTTGGTAGGTATCTTGTGTAATAAAAACAGTTCTTTTTATAGCGAAACAATGGATTCTGTATTAACCATATTTTTGTGCTTGCGTACTATTTTATACCCAAGAAAGCTATTGTTAGAACAAACTCATCACAAATCGTCGTCGACAAAAACTTAGGCATACGTTTGTTATGATAAATTGATGCATATTAAAAAAGAAAGAACAACATGAGTTGCAACCTAATATTTAAGCTATTATAGACTGTTTATTAGAGAACACTACTTGCTGCTAAAATGGGTTATATAGTATGCTTCAACATTGTGTACCTAGAGTAAGTAGTGGTTTACTATGATTTTTTATCGAATAATGGTTTACAATCTTTTCGTGACTTCATACTAATGTATACACGTAAAAAATTTACAGTTTGTAATGTAAACTAATCACTGATCAAATGCTGATTTGATAGTTTTCCGTTTTTGCTGGGGCATTGATCTAAAACCACTACTAATAGTTGATAACACATTATTAAGTAGGTGCAAACTACAGATTTTTTGTTTTATGAAAGTAAGGAACTAAAAAAAACTACAAAAATTTGAATTAATAATAATTTATGTGTTATACTCCATTTTAATACGTAATAACAACTTTATATATGTTGTGACATGTCAATTGAAACATAAAATATATAGTAATATAAAATGATATTTGTTTTTCCATGAAAACAAATTACAGATTAGCAGAGTGTGCCTCATACGGGCAAAATTCAAAACTGCATTATTAAATCACAAACCCGCAAACCAAACGGCGTCGTAATTATTAATACATATAAACGAAAAGTAGAAACAAAAAATATAAGAGACGATGCATCGATCATTATGCGACCATTTTGCAAGAGTTCTTGTTATGTTTGCCCATCATCCTACATTTGCTACACCTAATAGTACGGGGGATCAATTCACCCCTACTTGGGATACTCTTTCTCTTCGGCCTACCGCGGCGAGTCTGATGTTCAGGAGGATTTATCAGTGAAGTTACATCATCTGCCGTCGGCGAGTCTAATATATATTCATACACCCCAACACTAATTAACATTAATACAAACACCAAAACAACACACTAATGAAAACTGTTTAACAAAAAATACAACACATACCATTAAGTGATTTTAGATAACACCATTAAAGAAAAAAAAAAGAAAAAACATTCTTGCACAATTCAAAACAAGTTAATTCAAAAAACATACATTTTTTTTTTAAATTCTGAAGAAAAAAAATAAACCTCACAACATTTGTATCAACTGCAGTTAATTCATAACCATATGACAGTTAAAAAACACATTACCTATGTAGCACATGAACATAGGAAAAAACCACTTAATACAGAACCACCGAATATGTTCCCAACTCAAAACTGCTTAAACAAAACCACATATCTTTTGTGTGGTTTAAGAACCAACCCATAAAACCAGAGGAAAAATTAACATGTAAAGATCGTAAATGAAAACCACTTAATTCACTACCTCTGGTTGGCATATGTTCACAGTTCAAATTCCCATAAAGAAGACTGCATATCTTTGAGTGGTTACAACGGAACCCCAAAAAACTAATTAAAATGATAACACTTTTACAAAAAACAAAAACCACAGTCACTTAAACATGTTTTTATATTGAAAAAATAATTTACAAAAACAACCAAGTTTACCTAAAACAAATACATATTTACAATTTTTTTGGGTTTCACAAAAAAAAAAAATTGTCAAAAAACACATTACCTATGCAGCACATGAACATAGGAAAAAACCACTTAATTCAAAACCATTGAATATGTCCCCAACTCAAAACCGCTTAAACAAAAGAACGTATATCTTTTTGTCGTTACAACGGAACCCAACAAAAATCACACTACAACTTAAATCGTGAAACAGACACATACCAGGATGTGCAAACCATACCAAGATGTAAAATGCAAAAAAACACGCAAAACCGGACTTTTTGGTATACGGTTTTACTTATCGTCACATACAACACAAAACATCCAAACAACAAATTGCTACTTCCAACATTTTTTGGAACCCAAAAAGTTGTTTCCAGATTAAGCATGCAATTTGTAACTATAATCGGACAAACACCCATCACAACAAACAGCAAAAAATCAAGGCAATTGTTCACCATTTACGGATTTAAAAACTCACCAGCATCTAACTGCATAATGTCGGGACCGGTTTTGGATTTCCTCTTCCCTGTTAAAAATTACCCATTACGGTAAGCACATGCACAAAACAATAAGAACACCCATTTCGATTAATTGTGGTCTTCCACTAATTGAAGGGAATCAACTCTGGTGACACCGATTACTTACTTTTCGCTGCTGATTTCTGTACCATCTTGCCGTTGTACAAAATACGACGAAATTTTGCTTCCTCTAGTGGTTTTCGCTTCTGATTTCAGGAAAAATCAAAAAAAACTTCTACCGTGCTTTGGGGCATTTCGGAAAACGAGGGATAATGGGCTTAGCCGGAGTGGTGATTTCTACCGTGATTTGGAGGAAGAGATATTTGAGCGAATTATACGGTAACGTGATTTTGGGAGGGATTTGGAATTGATTTATTTTTTGGAGGGATTTGGTATTAACTTACTGTAATATTTAGTTTAATAATTAAACTAATAAGTGGGGGCATATATGGGTTTTCAAGCCCATTGGATTTATCTCAAATACCATTAATAAATTAAGGATTTATCAAGAATAAAAATCCCAATGAAGGGTGTTTGGCATATTGCCCCATATAAAAATTCCTTAACCACTATAGTTAATCGTGCGAGTGCGGCACCCGCCACAACAACCATATAGACACAGGTAACATTTTTCTTTAATCATTTTAATTTCTTTCTTTTTTCCAGTTTTTTAATATGTCTATCTTATAGACAAAACAAAATTGTGTATAATCAAAGTGAAATAAATGCAAAACATATGCACAATTTTTTATTTATTTATTTTTGCATCATGACAAATGAAGCACAATTATTCTCTGAGAAATTTTATGTAATACTTAAGAAAAAAAGATTCACTCCAAAAGTACATATTCAATAAAAAATTCGAATAAGAGAATAATAAGAATGGCATGAACTATAAACTGTCTTTCACATAATTATTGAAAACAAAAAAAACTATAAACTTTAACTAGCTAATGATTCTCACAACTTCTTCTCATGACTTTTTGTGGCTGCCATCACCAGTTCCTATATAAGAATGTGTATAATGAGTCAAGCTACAATTATTAAATGAAATTAAAGAAAAATTATAACCTACAGCTTTAGAATTTAGATATATACCATAAAACTTGAAGGCTGGTGATCTTTATACATCAAAGGTTGGGTAGATAATGAATACACCGTTGTTGGCAACTCCTAAATAGATACATACATATATACAAATTAACAATACTAAAAAAATGAACTTAGAAGATACAAGTAATTTTTCAAGGAGTTTTAGTATATATACCTCATCCACTGTTTCGGGATTAAACGAATCATACATAGTAGGTGAATGACTTGTTATAGCATTATGCCTGAAGAAAATTAAATTAAATTAAATAATTATCCAACAAATATAATTTAATAATAATGCAAAAGATATAATGATAAAAGTCTTACGATGCTTGCTTATGTAAAGAACAACTCGTCTTGATATGTCCAGTTTGCTTGCATATGCTACACTTTCTCTTTTTCCCTGATTGTGATTCCATGGGATGTTTAAGCCTTAAGGATTTAGGTCGCCCCTTTGAAGAAACATGTGGTGGGTCTAACAAAGTGACAGGCATATTAGATAATTGATGGCCACTGTGTTGAGGTTGTTTCTCAATAGCTGATCCACCATGAATTCGGGTTTCGTTACTCTCATCATCCAAGTCCAAAAGTTCAGAATGAGTTTTTCTTAGAGCAAGTGCTAAATAATCATGCTTTCTTTGGGATTTTTGTCCTTCTTCAACAACCTCCAAGAACTGTATCAATAAATTATTTATTCTCAATGTAGAAGAAATTTGAGAATCTTCTTGCTTCAGCTCATCAACATTTTCTTGTAAGGCACGTGATTTGGCATTTATTGTCCATCTTTGTAGAATATATTGTTGCGGTAAAGAACTTACGAGAGATTTCTTTACAAAAAATGCAAGAATGTGTCTACAAAGAATTCCAACAAATTCAAACATGTGACAAGAACATATGGCATTCTTTTCAATTGGATCAAGAACTACTTCATAAACCGGTTTCTCCTTTCCCATTAGCATCACACGATAACATTTTTTGACACCATCCTGACAATGTTTAGACGACGTGTATTTTTGGCTAGAAAATAGTTCTTCTTGAAACATCATAAATAATTTTCTAGTATATACATTAGCTGCATCTGCTTCAATTTTGTAACATGTCTTCAGAACTGGTTTGGTGTTCTTTGTCTTCAAATCTTTTTCTTTCTCTTTAAAATATCTTGCATCTATTGCTTTCTCGTACTGATGAACAAAATCACTTACAAATGTACTTGAACGAACAAATCCTTTAAAAAATTTATTCATACTCTCACTTCTTTGTGTTGTTGACATGCCGGCACAAAACATACTCCGTAAATATGCTGGAATCCACTACTCACGTTGCCCATATAACTTGGTTAGCCATTCATTCTCGTGCAACCCATACTTTTGAATCAAGTCCGTCTATTCATGTTCGAACTCTTGAGTTGTCATTGTATCATGAATGCAATGGTGAAATTCTCCTTGAAAAGATGGATATTTGTTAAAAACATGAGCTAAATGTTCTGGAACTTTCTGTAAAATATGCCACATACACAAACGATGAGATGTACTTGGTAATACCTCTGCAATTGTTGCACGCATGGATTAATCTTCATCAATAATGATTACAGAGGAAGCACGACCAAACATTGCTTCAAGCCACGTTCTTAACAACCATACATATGAACTTGTTGTTTCATTGACAAGCAAAGCACACCCAAACATAACTGATTGATGATGGTGATTAACTCCAGTAAAAGGAACAAAAGGCATGCTATAATGATTAGTCAAATATGTAGCATCAAAAGTAACCACATCACCAAAATATTGATATGCTAATCGTGACCTCGTATTTGCCCAAAAAAAATTTCCCATACGATTATTATCATCCAACTGAATTGAATAAACAAAACCTGGATTTTTTGATTGACACTCCATAAAGTAATTATGCATCCTCTGAGCGTCCCCTTCTTTCAGAAGCTCCCTTCTTTTATTACCTATATGATTCTGAACATCAATCAAAGCGCAACCAACATTACTCTCCCCTCCTGATCCATGACTCAACACAGACATTATCTTTGTTGCAGGAATTCCAGACTCATTAAGCACATTTATAAGATTCTTTTGAGCTGGTGTGATTTTTCTATGTCCTCGAAGTAAACTTGTAGTTCTTGGAGTGTATAATTCATGATTATGATACGTAACAAATCTAGTTACAACCCACTTTTCCTCTTCTCGTCTTAAACTCACACTCATCATTGCTTTACATCCTATTTTTGTCTCTGATTGATTTGTTTTCGAACTTTTAGTTTTTCCTTCATTACTTTGCTTAGGTTGTTCTTCTCTAGAGAATGTATAATCCACACCAATCAATAACTTATCCGATTGTGACAATCGCTTGTGATTTTTTCTGATACCAAATCCAACACGTCTTGCATATCTCGTATAAAAGGTTTGAGCATCTTCTGGGTTATCAAATACCATGCCTTTACATGGTTCCATAGAACAGTTATTTTTTGATTTACCTCCACCATCCACCAATTCTGTCTGACGTTGCGTATTACGTGTTCTTTCTGGAGAGCATCAAACGAATCTTCAGAGGCCATTACTGTTGATAAGAAATTTACGAAAGCAATTAAACAATCAAATTAAAAGAAAAGTTTTTTTTACCATGTCCAATATAGAACTCAAAAACATCCGGCCACTACATAAGTAAAAATAGAAAAATAATTAACAAATAATAATGTACCTTAAGAACATGCAGATAAGGGTTGTTATTGTAAGAATAATTTATTCTAAGAATAAATTAACGAAAGCTCTAGAAGTCGCCCGTCTGTGAAGAATCGTCTATCTATTTGTGTTTGTGTATCATGTTTTCTTTTCTTTTCTATTTTATTGTTTAAATCCCTAATCCTAATTATAACGTAAACATGGTAACTTATTAAAAGTTAATATTGTCCACGTGTCGGAAGAATAGTGGAATCCTATTCTTATTAATTCTCGGCTCAGCCGGTTTGAATTTAATCTCTTAAATATATATGTATGAAAATATATAAAAATAAGGGTAAATAACATTAAACCACCTGAATTTTTTTAGTTTTTGCACATCACTACCTGAACAATTTTTTTTTTTGCAGGAGTTCATCTATACTCAATTAATTGTGCCACTTTGCATTTTGTTACCTGTATGTTTACAGGTCAGAATGACCGGTTCTCACCCCACTCCACGTGCGCTTCACATGACAAATTCAAGTCTATTGATGTCTTTTCAATTACTAAAATAATCGGCCCCTAATTCCCGTTCACATTCACAAATTCAAGGCTGTATGTTGTTGCAGTAGCCGCCGCCGCAGGCTAATCCTTTGTTGGTTAATTTTGACCAAGTCTCAAAGAAAGTACCACTAGATATAATACAATATTAAGTTATCAGACATTAGGGTTTTTGTGTTAATTAATTAAATGCAAGTGAAAGCAAGAATTATTGTATAAGCAGAGTGGAAATTAAACCATTTTAAAACTACAAGTCTTGGCATTAAAATTTAATCCTAACACGTTAGAGAATCCAATGCTTAATCAATGACAATGAAATGGGAAAATAAATTGCTATAAAACTACAAGTCTTTAGTTGTCACATGAAAGTTTAATCCCAGCACGATAAGTTTAATACTACAAAATATAATTGTAGTACTAAAAAAATAAAATGGTGCAAATGTCTCCCAATTTCAGAGAAGTTTCTTCAAACCACACACAAGTCTATGTAGTGCTGAAACTTCATAACATTTTTGCATGTTATTTTTGCATTTCAGACACCTTATAAGTTTGACATCTTATAGGTCATTTTGGAATTTCTAAAAAGTTAAAAACATGTTGAGTGGTGAATCTTCAAATATTTTTGTTGCTTCCTTAATTACTTACATGGTCTGATAATCAATTGCAAGCTGGTAGTTGATCGTAAAATTTATTTGAAATAAATAAAAAAAAATATGTATATATATATATATATATATATATATATATATATATATATATATATATGTGTGTGTGTGTGTGAAAATATATAAAAATAAGGGTAAATAGCATTAAACCACCTGAACTTTTTCAGTTTTTGCACATCACCAAATGAGCATTTTTTTTTTTTTTGCAGGAGTTCATCAGTACTCAATTAATCGTGCCACTTTGCATTTTCTTACATGTATGTTTACAAGTCAAAATGATAGGTTCTCACCCCATCCCACATGCGCTTCACATGACAAATTCAAGGCTATTGATGTCTTTTCAATTACTAAAATTAATAATCATCCCCTAATTCCCGTTGACATGCTGTTTCCCGTATTCATTTTCCCGTTACCACGTATCGTCGTTTTCCGGACGGTCAACCGCCGGTCTCCGGCGTTGACTTTTTCTTTTTTTTTTTTGGAAACTTTTTTTCTCACTCTAAATTACTGTCTTAACAACATAATTATTGTCTGAGATAGTAATATTGAATACCAAAACAATAATATTATTGTCCCAAACATTAATATTACTAATATTGTTGTCTTAAACAGTAATATTATCGTCCCAAGCAGTAATATTACTGTCCCGAACAGTAATATTATGAATATTATTTTTTCAAACAGCAATATTGCTAATATTACTGTCCCAAACAGTAATACTATTGCATAAAACAGTAATATTACGGTCAGAGACAACAAAATTGCAGGCCTAGACGATAAAATTAATTAACAAAGTAAAATTACTGTTTCAAGCAGTTAAATTATTATCTCCGACAGTAATATAGTAGGCCAAGACATTAATATTATGTAAAATATTTCTTTTATGTAAAAAAGTTTAAAAAGAAAAAAAAAGGGTCAACGCCGGACTTGCCGGAAAAAAAAATCAGAAAGAAAATGTTTCCAAAAAAGAAAAATAAAGTCAACGCCGGTGACCGGCGATCTTCGAAATTGGAATAAGGGTTAAAATTGGTGAATTGGTGGTGAATTGGGTGATCAATTGGGCTAAATGGCTATGTAAATCATGAAATTGGAGTTGAATTAGGGTTTCTATGGGTTGTGGGTAATTTTGGTATATATAAAATGGTTTTCTTTATTTGCAAATAAGTTTAAATGAGTTGGATTTATTTGGAAGAAAAAAAAATTGGATGTCCATTTTCTAATTAAGTGCTCTTGTCATAGGACTATTTGCTATTTGTCCATAATAAAATACTAATATGCACGACTTCAACAATAAAGAAATAACAAGATTCCAGTAAACCGGTATACATATATTGATATACATATAAACATGGTTTGCCAGAACGTTCGAGCAGGTTGTTGTGGAGACCCTATCTTTCCAAATAAAATGCAACATTCCAGGGGTTTTGCAGTCGGAACAGACAATTTTTAATTAAATGCTAAAAGTTGTTTTTTTTTTTATAAAAAAAAATGTGATTTGTATTGAAATTGTAATACAATACCATATAAAATGATATTACAATTCCAAAAATTATGTTGCTACAATGTTACAACAGTCCTTTAAAACCTGTATCCTTGCAAAAGGGTGAAAAAATGTAAACCAATTTAAGGGGGGAAGTCTAAGTTCTAAATAACTCTCATAATGTTTTATAGAAATCTTAAAATTAGGGGACTAAATTGAAAATTCTGAAAATCTAAGAAATCCTAGTAAGATTTTTATTCTTGCGAATTCACCCTGCCTCAAGTAAGAATTAATATAAACACTGGGACCTGATTGCAAATTTATATAATTACACACATGTAATCTGACATGATCTACATGGTTACTGAGACTTAAACGCGACGGATTTACACAATCGATAAAAGTTCTTCACACGCAGCAATCGGAATGATATTCATGTCTGCACTCGAGTTAAAATTTACGGATTGATCGATGGGGAACTTACAAATTGATCAGTGGTTATATCTTCATACTTACTTATTCACCTCATTTTCATGCTTGTTGCCTTTTTGCCACTTAAATACCATGAAAACAAGTAAAATTCAACAAATTCATGATTTAACCTCCCAAATGCAATTATGATAAAATACCCCTAAATTAGACACAAACACTGCACAATTGCTCGATTCTTAGCTTAAATAGACGCTTATAATTATACATTAGTACACATTACCTTCCATAATGTGATGCGAAAACAAATAAAGGTCCTTATTTTCTTGTGCAAAAATGTTGTTTCTGATGCACCACAATCTGTAACATACAAGCCAGAAAACACATCTTATAATCATCTTGCTTCAAAATGTGGAGCTCGAATGAAATAAAACGGGTACAAAAATGAGAATATTCCATATAATCTAGAAGATTGCACTAAATTTGACACCACAAGGGTGGACGTGTAAGAAGACTGATCCGAACAAAATTTCCGATTTCCCTCTAATCTGATCCGAAGAATTTCGATTTTGGACCGGTTTCGTCAATTCCAAATTCCGATTTCCAAAATTTCTAGAAAAAAAATCAGATGCGGATTGAGAATACATATCAAAATTTTGAAACTTCCGATTCCGATTAGAAAATAGTTCCGATTGTTTTATGTATATTTCTGATTATTTCCAAATATTATTAATATTTTTTGAATATTTATCATTTCCGATTTGGTTTATTTTTATGGGTAAAATTCATTTTGCACTCCTGTATTATGCGAAATGTATCATTTCCCCCCTAAAGTATAGAAAACATCAAACGCCCGCTATTTTTTATGGTCAATGGTCAAACTTTTAATGGTGTTAAATTTAAGCTTGAAATGACTCTTTTACCGTGCGTTATGTATAATATAATCCATATTTTTTAAAGTTTATTTTTGTGGATTGTTGATGATTTATAGCGATCATTTAATTTAGAGTTTTTTGTCGATTTTCAATGTTTGTTTTTGGGGTTTTCAATTTTTTTTTTTGGAGGGGGTGGGGGGGGGGGGGGGGTTGGGGTGTTTGCCATATAATATGAAGGGTAAAATAAAGCTGATGTGGCAAATTGACCCCCTATATTTCCAAATTCCAGAAATTTTTTGGCCCCTGACCAAAAGGGGGTGGGGTTGGGGGGCCCTATATATAAAAATATAAAAATAAAAAAAAAAAAATAAAAAAAAAAAAAAAAAAATATATACATAGACACCCAAAAAGGTAAAAAAATTTTGTC